TTAAGGATATGTGAAAGCCTTGTAAGGTATGGAGAAAAAAATTCAGTTTTGAACTTTCAACTTTCATATCTACTCATTCCTGAATGTCATCTGCCTGGGAAAGTGGCCAATCCATTCAGTGAAAGGCCCCTTCAGTTTGTCCTTCCCCTCCTCCCCACTCTACAACTCTCAGAGCATTGAGCACCAGAGCAAACCACTCCAGATCTCTTCTCTGTTCACCACAGTAACTGGAAGCTCCCCAGATGGAAGCAGCTTTATCACCAGAGATGGGGACCAGAGTGGGGACAAAATAGAGCCTTGGGCTAATCCAAGATGGCATGCAAGCAGGGCACAGTGACCCACGTCTATTTTCTCAACTCCTCAGGAGGCTGAGGCAGGCCTCTCAAAAAATAAAAAATGAGAAGGACTGGAGACAAAGCTCAATGGGGGAGCATTTACCTTGAAGCTCTGGGTTTGATCCCCAGTACCAAAACAGACAAACAAACAACAAAAATGTTTTAGTCAGCTTTTTCACTGCTGTGACCAAAAGATCAGAGACAAACAAATTTAAGGAGGAAAATTTTATTTGGGGATCATAGTTTCAGAGTTTTCATTCAGGGCCCAAGGTAAGACAGGACATCATGGCAGAAGAGTTTTTGCCAGAGAAAAGTAGCTTAGAGTATCACACCAGGAAGCAGAGAGAGAGAGGTTCAGTTCAGCTCTCCAAATACATACTCCACAGGCACACCCCCAGGGACCCACCTCCTCCAGGCACACCTTAGCTGCCTACTGTTACCACTCAGTTAACCCCCCTCAGGGGATTAATTCACTGATCAGGTTAAGGCTCTCACAACCCAATCATTTCACCCCTAAACCTTCTTGCAGGTTCTCACACTTGAGCTTTTGGGAGACACCTCACATAGAAACCCTAACAACAACAAAAGTAAGACAGCCCACAGGACAAGAATAATTTGACTTTCCTCTTTCAAGACACTGAAATTTGGGGTTGTTATTACCACTCAAATGAACTTTCCTGACTGATACAAAGACAGGCCTCTGTCCATTCTAAACTTCATTATGGTGTCTTTCCCCACATATAAAAAACTCAGGGTCACCAAAGAGGCAATTTGAAATATTGGTCCCTCCTTTAAAACTGACCTCTGTAAATTAAAGATATTTTTATGTCTTGTGCATACTCCTTTTAAGGTAGTCAAAAACAGGACATTCATGCCCACATTGGGATGCTGTGAATATAAATATGTTGAAATGTGGGAAGATAAGAGAGCTAAGGCTCATTTGGTGACCTCATTGCTTCAGGAGATGTGTAAAGAGAGGCTTCTTTTTTTTTCTTTTTTTTAATTGATTGTTCAAAACATTACAAAGCTCTTGACATATCATATTTCATACATTAGATTCAAGTGGGTTATGAACTCCCATTTTTACCCCAAAGAGAGGCTTCTTAGGAAACGGTGACTGAAAAGGGGCATTTTCCACACATTGAAATGTAATCAATTCTCACCTGCTAGTCTCAAAATCCTAGAAAGTGCCTTTTCTATCAAAAACCAAGTCTTTGGACAACTGAAGCAGGACAAGTTAATGATGCTTAGTCATTTATAGAAATTTTTAAAAAAATAAAACTATCTAATATCTTAAAATATACTGGATAAAACTTTATGACAATCTTTCAGATTCTATATATGTTGTTTGATATAAACTTACTGTGCCACTCACTATCTGTGTATGTGTTTAGGGTACTTCTCTGTGCCTTAGTTTTCTGAGCTATAACATAGTTACAGTAGCTACCTCATCGGGTTATTAGAAATAGATCCATTAACATGTGCAAAATGCTTAGAACAGAGAGATTGCTTTCTTATGAAGAAATTAATTAGGAAATAAAAATATATTCCATGAGATAGTTAAAGCATATTTATCAAATTATAACTTTTTTATAGCAATTTCAATAATTTTATATAATATAAATTGTATGAGACTTATTTATATTATCACCTCATAAAATATCATCTGTGTCTATTTCCCATTAAATTTTACTCTAATTCATTTATAGCAGATATACCCTTATTTTTATATTACTAGAAAAGATTTGGTTGTGATATCTCTTAAAACTCACTGAATTTACCTCTAATTTTTCATGACTCTTATTTGTTCCTCAACTAACACAGAGGTCAAATCAATCTCTCTCTCTCTCTCTCTCTCTCTCTCTCTCTCTCTCTCTCTCTCTCTCTCTCTCTCTCTCTCACACACACACACTTTTGTTTTTAAAAAAGAAATTCATGTCCTTGCTTACTCCTTGTTTCAAATATAGCATGAAATCCAAGATACATATTACATTGGGTTACTTCAAATAATAAAAATTATTTTTATTATCTTACTTTATACCTTTATATAATGGATAATTTATATTAGAGCTATATAGAAAATATTAATTAAACATCTTAACTTTTTATTAGCCTACTTTATAAAATGCATTTTTACTTCTCATTAGTGCTTATACTATACCTTGAAATAGGTATTGACACATTTATTTGAAATTTAAAAATAAAGGCTTTTGTTCCAAAAGAAAGTTTTATTTCGTTGATAGGTTTGACAGTGGGGACAACGAGAACTTGATTTGTTAGTTAATTTCAGGTTGCTATTCCAATGAATTCAATTAGAGAAATCTACAAGTTGAAGATTTTGGTGAAAATAGCCTTAAAGAATGAGGTTACTACATTTTGTCAAAAATCATTAGAAAAACTATATTGAATTTCCCCAAACTTTTATTATATTGGGTTAAATAAGGTAACTAAGGAAAAGGGCAAAAAGAGTCATTAATATTTTTTCCATTGGACTACTAAACCCATTTTGTTTGTCTCTTGGAAACTAAGACAGTAAATGACTACATTGTTCGTTGACAAAATATTTTGCAAGTCAGTGTATTTATAAGTCTTTGCTTACAATAAAATTGGGGTCAGTATTATCATTAACATAATTTCTAAAATTACATTAATTTTTGATAACGTAATTCATCATGAGCTCAAATAATTGACAAAGCTTAGCAAAATACTTCCACACCCATCCATTTCCTTATGTGAAATATTTCTACCAGCTTCAGCTACACCATTAAAAAGCAGGAGTAAAATATGCTGAAGGCATATTTTTATACCAATAGAAATATCTTTCTATGGCTATTACACACTAATTGAGAAAAAACTCAAATATATTTAATCAGAACACATTCCTAATAGGTTTTAACATTTATTCTTCCCATGGTGGCACACACCTGTAATCAAGTGGCAGAGCTTTGTTCTGGAATGGATGGTTTAAGGAAGTAAATCTTTTTTGAATCTTTTCCAGAAGCTGAGTGAGACTCAAGCTGTGATGGGTGAAGAAGTAAAAGTTACTCATATTAGCTAGGACTGGGAGATGTTGGGTCATATTTATGACTTGGCAATGTTTATGATTTTGTTTACATTCACATGTAATTACACATTGATCATGCGTTTGTCTTAACCATCATGGTAACAGGGTGGCCTTCTCTTGAAATTGTTAATGTTAAAAAGAAAGCATCATAGCCTAGCCACAAGGGCCAGGCCAGGTCCCTATCTGGCAGGGTCTACTTTTTTCTCTCTTAGACTAAGCTTCTTCATTGAGAAGGCTCTTAAATTGTCCATGTGATTCTTTAAGGGAATTAAAGATACCACTTAACATTTTTCAAATACACACCTATTTTACAAACTCGTTTGTGGCAATGTTCTTTGGATGATGTATTTAGTATAAGGATTTCCAGTATTAATTGTTATGGGCCAGGCTATATGAGCAATGACCAAACAGACTCCATTTTACCCTGAGACTCCATGTCATGTAAGAACTGCCTCCTTCATGGGAAAATCCCACCTCTGTACCCACTAACAAATGCTTAGCAAAACATACTGGCAATGCAAAATGGAGAAATTGTTCCTTCTATTCTATTAAGATATACTTGTACAATGTATCCTAATTGCATAGAATGTTAATGTTTGTCTAGACCTTAGTAACAATTCTTTAACTTATACTCAAGTAGCGTTTTTTTTACCTACTTTCCCTTCTGCTTATGACTTAAGATCTCATGATTTTTGTTATGGTTTTGAATTATGGCAACAGCCATTTGTGATTAATGCACTGACATGCTTTACTTGTGGTTTTAAACAATAAAAGGTGTGCTCTGACCCCTGAAGGGGGTTGAGGAGTGCCAAATTGCAGCCTGCCCTTGTCCCATCAGCTGGTGAATAAAGATGATTCCATCTCCTGCTTTAAGATTGACTTGGTGATTTATTGCAATCTTGCCATAACATAATTACAGAAGCATATTTTACTAAAAACATGCAAATGCATGCTATAAAAAATATTAGCTTCATTGAGATGTAACTAACAGCAGGGGTGCTTATACCCTCCAAACTTCAAGCTAGTTAACACATCTATCATCTCAAATAATTACCATTTTTAGTGGTGAGAACAATTGAAAATTGACACCAACCCCCAAGCCACATGCTAGTGGTATTTGGAGGTGGAGAGTTTGGGATGTAATTACAGTCATGGGGGCAGGGGCCTCATGATTTCTTTGGTGGGTTAATGAGAAGAGAAAGAGATATCCAAATAAGCAAGCTTGCTCTATCTGGCCCATGGTCCCTGTACCACCTTGGGACTCTGCAGAGAGTTACCAACAACAAAAAGGCTCTTACCAGAGGCAACCTTGGACTTCCTAGCCTACAAAACTGTAAGGAATTCATTTCTGTTCTTTTCTGCAGTATTCAGTCATAGCAACAGAAAATGGATGAAGACAATAGTTAAGTGTAAAAAAAAAAGAAGAGAGAGAAAGGGATTCTCAATGGATCAATTAAGACAACATCTTTAATTTGTGGCCAATACAACAGGACTCTCTGCAGCCTTCAAAACTCCTGAGCAAAGAAGTCTTTGGATTTTAACGAAATATACCAGAAGGTGGCAGTAATGACTGGCAAGAAAAGCATGTCAGAGGAAAAAGTCTCCTCCTAGTTCTGGGAAACGAAACTGAAATCAAGCCAGTTTTCTTCCTTCCCCCACCTCCCAGAATCACACTCACGCTGTTGTTTCTCAGTCCACTGCAGCTAGATTGAGACCGGAGGATACAGAAGCTTTCACGGAAACTGGAATGAAGAAAACACTCTCCTCTAACATCCTAGGAGGAGGAAAACACGGTGTCACATGGTTCCTGCACTAAACTAGATGATTTTCTGCTTCTTTTAGTAGAAGAAATTTGACAGACAATCAAGGTAAGTACAATAGCCCTTATTAATGTTACTATCATGTATGCAGAAATTTATTGAATAGAAAGAATTTTACTTTGCATTTAGGAAACTGAAAAATACCCCAAGAAAAGTATGATAATACTCTAAGACTAGAGCTTCTGGACTTTTTGTGCTGTGACAGGACTCTGCTTATATGAGTCATAACATTGCATAAACAATATAATTGAAAACTAGGGGGACTTTTATGAATGAAATGCCCCAAGGCATAATGGCATTTTCAAAAAGAACAGAAAATGAAAATTTTAAAGTTTATATACTTTCCACTGTCTAAGGAATAGGCAGCTTACAAAACAGAACTCCCTAACTCAGTCAGACCCTGTCTGTAAATGAAATACAGACTAGAGCTGGGGATGTGGCTCCGTGGTTGAATGCCCCTGAGCTCAGTTCCTGGTACCAAAAAAAAAGAAAAGAAGGAAAACAGAAATTCCTACAGTTTCTTAAATATTAGTGTCACACAAGATTTATCTATAAGAGGCAGACAGACAGACTACTACAGGAAGTCCTTACAATTTTGGCAGCTTTATATTTCTGGTAGGAATTATAGTTGATGTCTGATTTCACCCCCCCCCCCAGAAGCAATAAGTAATTTGCTTATTGCAAATGCAATAATGCAAGAGTATAGGAGGATTGGATTTTTAATAATTGCTAAATAAAGCTAACAAACCCCACAGTTAACCTTGACAGTTCATAACCCACGTGGTGGGTTCAGCCATGAAACAAATTGTGCTTCCTGTTTCTTACTGGTGGCTAGGATGCTAGATTTTCAGGTGGCTTTTTAAAGTATATAGAATTGCCAGGTATGGTGGTGCATGCCTGTAATCTCAGCAACTCGGGAGCCTGAGGAAGAGGGATTGCAAGTTCGAGGCCAACCTCAGCAACTTAATGAAGTCCTAAGGAACTTATCAAGGTCCTGTCTCAAAATCAAAATTAAAAAGGGCTGGGGATGTGGCTCAGTGGTTAAGTACCTCTGGAGTCAATCCTCAGTATCAAAAGAGAAAATTTAAAAAGAAATTTTGGTTTCAGGTAGAAATCTGTGAACAGTGGCATATATGAGGAAAACTCATTCCTCTCAAGAACATTCTCCAAAAGTTTCATCTTCGATAATTTTTAAGTGGTTTATTGAAAGGCACAACTATCAAGATGTAGTGGCATCCCCTCCCCCACCAAAAAATCTTAATTAAGCTTCTCCAGAGACCCTCACCATAATTGTTTTAATTAACAGAATACCAGCAAAAATTTATACGAAAGAGCTCAATATGCTTAGAACTTTCTATTTTCTGTTGCTCTGTCTTGCAAAATCTGTTTGGCCTTGGATTTGATGATGTTACCTCCGTTTTTGTGGTAAATTGTGTAAAACCTCTGACTTATCTACAAATTGAGAAAAAAAAAAGCACTTTCTGAGAACTCACAGAAAAAATTTCTTTTACGTAAACTTGCAAGTCCCCCAACCCACAGGAGATAAAGTTTGTACAATTTCTAAACTCATGATCCAGAGAACTTTAGGAGATAGCCCCCTCTGAACCTTGCAGTCAATAAACCTGCTTCCTGAAAATTCCTTAGGCATCCAGCCCTCTTCTGTCCTACAACAGGAAAACAGTGCATCATGTACTACTTCTGCAAGTATTGGGAGTTTGGTATGTTTTCAAAAGCATGATTTAACTTCCTGGTGTCAAAAATGGGTTTTCTCAAAGTCCATCACTGGTGATGGGCAGGCCTAGTAACACTGGAGCAGAGCAGTAGTCATACACCTTATTAAGAGTGAGATAGATCACTTTGAAATATAGGTTTACAGAAATTAAAATAACACCATCAATCAACTGTGGGTGGGATGTGGAAGTCAAAAAACTAATCCTAGAATCTGAGGCTGAAATAATAAATGTTATAAAAAATATAAGACCTTATAAAAAAATATAAGACCTCAGCTTTCCTGAATTGAATTAATCATTATTCTTGTTTTATTCTTAATAGTCATACATGATAATAGAATGTATTTTGACATATTATACATATATGAATTATAACTTCTCATTCTGGTTGTACACGATCTAGAATTATATTAGTCATGTAATCATATATGCAGATAGGATAGTGATGTCTGATTCATTCTACTCTCTCTCCTATTAATATTCACCCTCCCTTCTCTTCATTCCCCTTTGTCTAATCAAATGAACTTCTATTCTTCTCTACCCACCTACTCCCACCACCCCACTTTTTTGTGAATTAGCATCCACATATCAGGGAAAACATTCAGCCTGTTGTTCTTGGGATTGGCTTATTGTGCTTAGCATGACATTTTCCAGTTCCATCCATTTACCAGCAAATGCTATTTCATTCTTCCTTATAGCTGAGTAATATTCCATTGTGTTTGTGTACTACCTTTTCGTTATCCATTCCTCTGGTGAGGGGCACCTAGGTTGGTTCCATAGCTTAGATCTTGTGAATTGAGCTGCATTGAGGTAGCCATATCACTATACTATACTGATTTCAAGGCCTTTGGGTATATACCAAGGAGTGGTATAACCATTCAAATGCTGGTTCCGTTCCTAGTTTACTGAGGAATCTCCATATTGTCCTCCAGAGTGGTTGTACACCAATATTCAGTCCCACCAGTAATCTATGAGTGTACCCTTTTCCCCACATCAGCACCAACATTTATTTTTACTTGTATTCTTAATAATTGCTATTCTGACTAGAATGAGATGAAATCTCAGGGTAGTTTTAATTTGCATTTCTCTAATTACTAGAGATGTTGAACATTTTTTCATATATTTGTTGGCCACTCACTTCTGTGAACTGTCTGTTCAGTTTCTTTCCTGTTTATTGATTGGGTTGTGTTGTTTTGTTTGGTGTAAGTTTTTTTAATTCTTTGAATGTTCTGGAGATTAATGCTGTATTTGAGGTGCAGATAGTAAATCTGTTTTCACATTCTGTAGGCTCTCTTCACTTTATTGATTGTTTCCTTTGTTGTGAAGAAGCTGTTTAGTTTAATTCCATCCCATTTGTTGATTCCTGATTTTACTTTTTGCGCTTTAGGAGTCCAGTGGAAGAAGTTGGTTCCTAAGCTGACATGATGTAGATTTGGGCCTACTTTTACTTCTGGTCTAATGCACAGGGTTTCTGGTCTAATGCCTAAGTCCACTTTGAGTTGAGTTTGGTGCAGGGTGAGAGATAGGGGTTTAATTTCATTTGGCTACATATGGATTTCCAGTTTTCCATTTGTTGAAGAGGCTATCTTTTCTCTACTGTATATTTTGGACACCCTTGTCTAGTAGGAGATAACTGTATTTATGGGGATTTGGTATTGTAATGCCTCATGCATCACTTTTCTTGCTAAGAATTACTTTGACTATTCTGAATCTCTTCTTTTTCCAAATGAATTTTATGACTGCTTTTTCTAATTCTATGAAGAATATAATTGGGATTTTAATAGGAATTGTATTAAATCTATACAGCACTTTTGGTAGTATGACCCTTTTGATAATGGTCATAATCATTATTCTTTTCATAACACACTATCATCTTTTTTCTATGCAAGTACTTCTTTTTAGTTTATTCATCTATTTATTTTATCATTTATTATGGAGAAATCCTTGGATTTTTAAATGAAGCATAACATGCCAAGTGAACCAATCTTTAGGGCATGGCTCTATGAAGTCTCTCTACGTATTCATCTGTGTAACTACACACAGATCAACATCCCTGTGCTCCTCAGAAAATAATCTCCACACCAGGTCATTCTGACTTCTGCTGTACAAGAAGGCTCTGTTCACTCAGGGTCACAGTTGTGAGATTCATCTCTGTTTTTGCTTGTATCAGTAATTTTTCATTAGAATGGTTGAGTCATAATTAAGTTTACAAAAACTGTCAGTGTCTCCAAGTAGCTGAAACAATTTACGTTTCTACTGGCAATGTCTGAGAGCTCCGTTGACCCCACCTCTTCACCAGCATGTCAGCCTTTCATTGTAGCCATTCTGGTGGGTGCGTAGGGTCATCTCCCTGAAGTTTGATTTTGCATGTTGGTGATGGTTAAACATTTTGGAGCACATCTAGGTTCCAATCCATCACATCCACATTGTGACTGTCAAAAGTCACACTGGTTTCCTTCCTCCCGGTGGCTCATGACTTCTCCTCAAGTCCAGCTCAGAATCAGAAAATGCCCCAAAGCTTACCTAGGCTTCTTTCCTGTCTGAATTTTAATCCATCCGGCCTTTGTCATCTAATATGTTATCTCCGTGATCATTTCAAAGGCAAGTCAAGTAGCTTTCCTCACCTCCTTTCTTTTTGTTGCAGTGAGAGCATCGGCAGCCTTGGTGATCTCACAGGAAAGTGGTCTCCTTCCATTCCTTCTCCAGTCAGTTTTGGTAAGTTACATTTTTGGATGAATTTGTCTGTTTAACCTCAGTCTTCAATTTTACTCATGTACAGTTGGTTGCAATATTCCCTAACTGCTTTAATTTTTACAGCACCTCTTATTGCCTATTTGTGACATCTCTCTTATTTGTTGTTTAATCCTTCCACAGGTGTGTCAACTTCATTACTCTTTGTGGACAACTTTTGGACTTCTTTCTGTCTCTCTGTTGCAAGTATGGTTTCCATTTTGTTAGATTTTTGCCCTTTGTTGTCTTCCCTCCTTTTTCCTGGTTCACATTAATTCTGTTGTTCTTTGAACTTACTAAATTGGCATTTAGTTTACTATTGTCAATATATTCTTCTATTTTCATAAAAGCACGTAAGGCTATCACGATTTGTAGAAATATTATTGAAACTGCTTTTATAAGTTAGGATGTGCAACAGTTTCATTGCTTCTAGGTTTTATATATTTTTCCTCGCTAATATATGACATTACAAGTTGTTGTTTCTTAATTTAACTTTTCATTTGAGTTCACTGTCATTCACATGGGGTGCAGCTTTTGCCTAGACCTCGTTCATGAAGATTTTCTCTTATGTATTTTACTAAAACTTTCTTACTTTTACATTTTCTATAGAAGTCCATTCCAAGTTAATTTTGGTATAAGGTGTGAGATCTTTTGGTATAAGGTGTGAGATAATTTAATTTTTGCATATGGATGTCCAATTACTCCAGCATCATTTGTGGAAACAACCATCCAATCTCCATTAAATTATTTTTGCATCTTTCTCAAATATCAGTGGGGCATATTTGTGTTGGTTTACTTCTGGTCTGTTCCACTGCTATATCTCTCTACAAGATCTTTCTTTGAATTTCTCCACTCCTTTTGTTTTAAATTTAACTGATATTTGCTCATGTCCTTCTTGTTTCCTTCCTTCTGCTTGCTTTGGGTTTATTTTGTTCTTCTATTTCTAGATTTTTTTGGAGAGAAAAATTTAGGTTATTGTTTTAAGACTTTTCATCTTTTTAATATTTGTCTATATTGCTGCAAGGTTTCCCTTTAACACTGCTTTAGTTGTGTCTTACCAATTTCGTTGTGTTATACTTTCATTTTTATGCATTGCAATGTGTTCCTTCATTTCACTTGAGACTTCCTCTTTGGCCCATGAATTGTTTAGAAGAGCATGGTTTTCTGTTTTGTGATTTTCCTCTTTTCTGTTATCAATTTTTATTGCAATTTCTTTGTGGCTAACAAACATTCTTTTTGGTTTCAATTTTTTTCTGTTTTAATGATTTTTTATTAATTTGTTCTTTTTAGTTATATCTGACAGTAGAGTATATTTTGACATATTTATACAAACTTGGGGTACATCGTATTCTAATTAGGATAACATTCTTGTGGATATATATGATGTGGAGTTTCACTGTGGGGTATTCATATGCGGACATAGGAAAGTTATGTCAGATTCATTCTGCTCTCTTTCCTATTTCTGTCCCTGCTCCTTCCCTTCATTTCCCTTTGTCTAATCCAATGAACTTCTATTCTTCCCATCTCCACTGTTTTGTGTCAGCATCCACATATCAGAGAGAACATTCTAACATTCTGATTTTGGAGATTTGCTTATTTAACTTAGCATAATAGCCCTCAGTCCATCCATTTATCAGCAAGTGTCATAAAGTCATTTTTTTAAATGGCTGAGTAACATTCCATTGTGTATATACACCACATTTTCTTTATGCATTCATCTATTGAAGGGCACCTAGGTTGGTTCCATAGTGAATTGAGCTGCTATAAACATGGATGTGGCTGCATCTCTACAGTGTGCTGATTTTAAGACCTTTTTGTATATGTCGAGGAGTGGGATAACTGGACCAAATAGTGGTTCCATTCCAAGTTTTCTGAGGAATCTCCATACTTTTCATAATGTTTGAACCAATTTGCAATCCCACCAGCAATATATGAGTGTACCATTTTCCCCATAACCTCAACAACATTTATTGTTACTTTTATTTTTCATTGTTCCCATTCTGACTGGAGTGAGATAAAATCTCAGTGTGGTTTTAATTTGAATTTCTCAAATTGCTAGAGATCATGCACATTTTTTCATATATTTGCTGACCATACCTATTACTTCTGAGAACTGTCTGTTCAGATCCTTTGCCCATTTATTGATTGTTGTTTTTGTTGTTGTTGTTTGGTGTTTTGTTTTGTTTGGTGTTAACTTTTTTTTAAGTTCTTTAAGTATCCTGGAGAATAATGCTCTGAGTAAAAGGTGGCATCAATTCTATCCCCTTCTGTAGGCTCTCGGTTTACTGTCTTGATTGATTTTTTTTAAAGAAGTTTTTATTTTGATACCATCCCATTTGTTGATTCTTGATTTTACTTCTTGTGCTTCAGGAGTCTTTTTGAGGAAGGCAGTTCCTGAGCTTGATGGAAAGAAGGGCCTACATTTTCTTCTAGTTGGCGCAGGGTCTCTGGTCTAATGCTTAAGTCCTTGATCCACCTGAGTTGAATTTTGTGCCTGGAAAGAGAAAAGAGTTACATTTTTGTTTCAATTTTTTAATAATTTGTTGAAGTTTATTTCATCATTTAGGATATGGTCTATCTTGGCACTTGAAAAGAATGGTATTTTGTTGTTCTTGTTGCAGTGTGCTACAGGTGTGATAGAGAACCTGTTGATTGATGATATTGTTGAATTCTTCTATATCATCACTCTTCTGTTTAATTGTTGTATCAGTGGTTAAGACAAAGATATTGAAGTATCCAACTGTAATTGTGGATTGGTTGAAAACTGAAAAATCTGATCAGTACTTGACTCACAAATTTGCAACTTTTTTATCTGATGTTTGTACTTCAGGATTGCTATGACGACATCTAGTTAGACTGACCCTTTTTAATCAGTATATAATATTCCTGTCTCTGGCAAATTTCTGTACTCTGAAGTCTACTCTACTGACATTCATATAGCTATTTATGTGTTCATTAATATTTGAATGGGCTTAGGAGGATGGTGTACACTTGTAATTCCAGCAACTCCGGAGGCTGAGGATTCAGCAATTTAAAAAGAACTTGTGTCAAAGTAAAAAAATTTAAAAAGAACTGGAGATTAGCTCAGTGGTAAAGTGCCCCTGGATTCAATCCCCAATGCTCTCACCACCAAATTTTTAACTGATATACTTTTTCTATTTTTTTACCTTCACCCCACCTATTATATCATTATATTTCCACTGCAAGTCACATAGACAGGATACATCTGGGTCATATTTTGAGTTCAGGTTACCAACTTCTCTTTAAATGTCCATAATTAAGTCATTTGTATTGAATGTAATTATTGATACATTAGGGATTAAGTTTATTTGTTTGTTAATATTTGTTTTTCTCTGTTCTGTTTTTCCTTTGTATTATTTTCCTGCCTTCTTCTGGGTTACTTGAAAATGAAGTACAATTACATTTTCATTCACAATGTCTTTGAAAGCATCACTTTGTATGCATTTTCACTGGTTGCTGTAGATGTTATCTATATATACTTAACTTATGACAGTCTGACAGTATTATTGTACCAATCTCAAGTATAGAAACCTTCCCTTCTTCAATATGCCCAGAGTTAAGATCTGCCCTAAGGGGTTCAGTAGATAGAAAGGGCCCTGGTCCGTGGCATACACTGGCTTTCCTCAGGAAGATTCAGAGTAAGTATGCTTGACCAGCTATAGGTCATGAATAGCCCAATATGCTACTGTGGATTTTACTTATATTCCCTGAATAGAGAACTCAAAAGGTCACAATGGTGTTGCAACAAGTAACCTAATGATACCTCAAAAATGTTCATATGCATCTCATGAATATTTTATGACTATTTGGTCCTCCTCTTCCTTCGTAGCTATGATTGACATTCTATATTCTGTTTAGTTCATCTATCTATCATAACCTCTTTCACAAACTACTTGCATCTATATTTCATCTCATATAGTCTCTTTTTTATTTTCTAGAGCAGAATTGAATATTCCTAAATGATAAGGCAGATGCTCATTACAACAAATCACCATGAATAAAGATGAAAAATCTCTATGTATACAACCTGGCAGCATCTCCAACATACTTAGTGAATAAAACCAAGGAAAGAGAATTTTGCCCAGCCTGCTCCCTTCATATGAGACAACAAGTGCGCATATATTTGTATTCAATAGTGTTTCTCTTGGAGAATGTAGAAGAAATTGGTGATAGGAAATTTTTAAGTTATGTAACACATGAAATAATAACTTCTTTCAAAGTTTTACTGGTAAAACAATAAATGATTATTCTTTCTCTAACTATAGGTATCACAATGGCAGAGCAACTAAACCTTCCAGAAAATACAGATGACTGGACAAAAGAAGATGTAAACCGATGGTTAGAAAGCCATAAGGTTGACCAAAAGCACAGGGACACCTTGGTGGCCCAGGATGTGAACGGTGCCATCCTGAAGTGGTTAAACAAAATGAATCTTGTGGATATGGGCATAACCCATGGACCAGCTATCCAAATAGAAGAGCTCTTCAAGGAATTACTGAAAACATCCTCTCGAGATCCTACTCAGACATCCAAGGGGAAAAAAGGCAGTAAAAATATTCCCCCAAAACAAACTGTGAAGCAAAAGGAAAGTAAAGAGACTTTGGAACAAAAACAAAAGAATAACGACGATTCAGATTTGTCCAATGCCACTACGAGTCCAGTGGCTACAGGCTCTAAGTCACTGAAAGATGAGCTCATGGAAGATGAAACAGATGACTTAAAGGAGAAGCAGCCATGCCTAGAACCAACATGTATCCCATATCCTTTTGATGAATCCAGTGATCCATATCGTTATAAATTACATTTCATTCTACAGCCTGAAACTGGATCACGCAATCTCATGGATCCAGCACGTGAGTTCAAGGCCTTCACAAATACAAAAACAGCCACAGAAGAGGATATTAAGATGAAATTTAGCAACGAGGTTTTCCGATTTGCCTCAGCTTGTATGAATTCACGTACCAATGGCACCATTCATTTGGGAGTCGAAGACAAACCCCATGGAAAAATTGTTGGTGTGCAAATCACCAAAGTCACTAAAGAAGCCCTAATTGAACACTTCCATAAGATGATACATCAGTATTTTGAAGCACGTCAGGTCCAACAAGCAGAGAAGTGCATTCGAGAGCCCAGATTTGTGGAAGTTTTACTGCCAAACAGTACTGTATCTGACAGATTTGTTATAGAAGTGGATGTCATTCCACAATATGCAGAATGTGGAGAGGACTATTTCCAGATCAAAATGCAAAACTGTAACAACAAAGCATGGGAACAAAGTTCAAAATACTCTGTCTTTGTGAGAGATGGGCCCAAATCTAAGGACATCACAAAAAGTAAGTCGGACTTCAAAGCTTTTAAACTAGACTTAAAAAAAGTGGCAGAGTCTAGGAAAGAAGCAGAAGAAAAATGCATAGAAAAGCCAAATAAAAACAAAAGTGAGGGGTCCAAGCTAGTTAAACTGTTGACAGGAAATCAAGATTTGCTGGACAATTCATTCTATGACTGGTACATTCTTGTAACAAATAAATGTAACCCAGAGCAAACAAAACACTTGGATTTCCTCAAGGAAATCAAGTGGTTTGCTGTGTTAGAGTTTGATCCCGAATCAGCAAGGAATGGAGTCGTCAAAGCTTTCAAAGAAAGCCGAGTAGCAAACCTTCACACTCCAAGTCTGTTTGCAGAAGGGACCACGTGGAGTGACAAGATTTCTAGTCTGAATCTTTACCAGCAACCCAGCTGGATTTTCTGCAATGGGAGGTCAGACCTTGACAGTGAAAAATACAAACCCTTAGATCCAATTTCCTGGCAAAGGGAAAGAGCTTCTGAAGTCAGGAAACTGATTTCATTCCTCACACGTGAAGACATAATGCCAAGAGGGAAGTTTTTGGTGGTGTTTCTATTACTCTCCTCTGTGGATGACCCCAGAGACCCCCTCATCGAGACTTTCTGTGCTTTCTACCAAGATCTCAAAGGAATGGAAAGTATACTGTGTATTTGTGTACATTCACACATATGCCAGGGATGGAAAGACCTGCTTGAAGCAAGATTAACGAAACACCAAGATGAATTATCAAACCAATGTATTTCTGCCTTAAATCTTGAAGAAATAAATGACACTGTTCTGAAACTAAAATCTGTAACTCGATCCTCAAAGAGATTATTGCCCTCAGTTGGCTCATCTACTGTCCTTCTGAAGAAAGAAGAAGAAATCATGACTGCCCTGGAAATTCTCTGTGAAAATGAATGTGAAGACACACTCTTGGAGAAGGACAAAAAAAAATTACTAGAATTCAAGGCATCCAAAGAGGAAGACTTCTACCGAGGTGGCAAAGTATCATGGTGGAACTTCTACTTTTCTTCCAAAAACGATTTTTCATCTTTTGTCAAAAGAGATAAATTTGAAAGACTGGAAGTATCAATTCAAAACTGTGCACATTCTTCTAAAGAAACATGTACCAAAATCCTTCATCTGTATCATCATCCAGGCTGTGGGGGGACTACCTTGGCTATGCATCTTCTGTGGGATCTAAGGAAGAAATTCAGATGTGCTGTGCTGAAAAATAAGAGAGTGGATTTTTCTGAAATTGGAGAACAGGTGACCAATTTAATTACCTATAGGGTAGCAGGCCATCAGGAATACTTACCAGTATTGCTCCTTGTTGATGATTTTGAAGACCAAGAGAATGTCTACATTCTGCAGGCTTCCATTGAAACAGCTATAGCTAAAAGGCACATTCGATATGGGAGACCTCTAGTGATCATCCTAAATTGCATGAGATCACAAAATCCTGAAGTGTGTTCAGGGAACTCAGACAGTATTGCCCTAACACAACAACTGTCTCCCAAAGAACAGAGAGCTTTTGAGCTTAAGTTGAAAGAAATCAAAAAACAGCATGAAAACTTTGAAGATTTTTATTCCTTCATGATTATGAAAAACAATTTTAATAAAGAGTACAAAGAAAATGTGGTGAGGAATATTCTGAAAGGGCAGAATATTTATACCAAGGAAGCAAAGCTCTTTTCTTTTCTGGCTCTTCTGAATTCATATGTGCCTGATACCACCATTTCACTCTCACAATGTGAGAAGTTCTTAGGAATCTCAAACAAGAAGGCTTACTGGGGAACAGAAAAACTTGAAGACAAAATGGGCACCTTCTCTACAATTCTGATAAGAACAGAGGTGGAAGAATGTGGGAAATACTGTGGAGTGCGCATCATTCACCCTTTGATTGCGATTCTCTCACTGGAAGAATTGAACAAAAGCTATAACTTGGATAAAAGTCAAATTATGCTGGATTTGCTCACAGAAAATATGTTCTATGATGCTGCCATAGGAAGAAGCAAATTTCTCCAAGATATGCAAACCCTACTGCTCACAAGACAGCATAATGAACCTGAAGGTGAAACAGGAAACTGGTTTTCCCCATTCATTGAAGCATTACATAAAGATGAAGGCAATGAGGCAGTTAAAGCTGTATTGCTTGAAGCTATTCATCGGTTCAACCCAAATGCATTCATGTGCCAAGCTTTGTCAAGACATTTCTACCTTAAAGAGAAGGATTTTAGCAATGCTCTGAAGTGGGCAAAACAAGCTAAAAAGATAGAACCTGACAATCCCAGTATCTCAAACACACTGGGAGAAGTCTACTATAATAAAATCATTTGGGTGATACAAGAATCTGGAGGAAATCGGCTTCTTGTAACTGATGGTACAACCAATCTTCTGGAATTAACAGTACATGCCTCCAGTGCATTCAAAGAATCTCAACAGCAAAGTAAAGATCAAAAATATGAAGTGAAGGAAAGACTGTGTCAGAAGTCAAAAATGATTTCTGCTACTGAAAAAATGGATGCTTTTCTAAGGGAGCTAGAACGTGGATATTTCCTAATGAATATTCTGAATGTGATTCCCTATGCATTATTTCCGATTGTTTTACTGTTTCTCATTTGTAAAGCACTTGAGAATATTCTGAGTGTGATTCCTTATCAATTATTTTTTATTGTTTTATTGTTTCTCATTCTTAAAGCACTAGAGAATGTATTTTGACACATCATACATAAATGGAGTATAACTTCTCATTCTTTTTTGACAATAAAAATGACCTGTCTAAAAGAGGTATATGGTCAATTGTATATCGAGAAATTGTGATATTCTGGGAAATCCAGATAAATTCAAATTGTTCCTCAAGAACTTTATTTCTTATCTAACTTTGTTGCAATCTTCTTTGGAGAAGTCCTTTGATTTTTTTCTTTTTGATGATTACTTTGTCTTTCTAAAACCCAGGAACAACATTAATCGAAATAAAGAGGCCAAAATTTACAAGAAGGTAGCTGTATCTTTCAAGAATATGTAGTTATATTTATTTGTCCCTTAGCAGAATCACATAGCAGGGATGTTGGATCAAAGCTCCATTTGCCTTTTCAAGTAGAGAGAAATCAAGGAACCCTAGAAGCTTTAAAAGCAGACAAGTTTTCTGGGCTCCTAGAATATCTTATCAAAAGTCAAGAAGATGCTCTAAGCACCATGGAAGATATAATGAACAAATATACTTTTCTTTCTGAACAATGTATTGTCAAAAGGCAGCTAAAGGAAAAGCAGAACTTTATCTTGGCCAACATCATTCTCTTTTGTATTAAACCTGCCTCCAAACTAGTGAAGTCAATTAAAAAAAAACTGAAGGAACATCTTCGAGAGGTCTTGCAACAAGTAGGACCAACTTACCAATATTCAGAACCTCCTTTCCTAGCTTCACTCTTATTGTGGTCAGAAAACCAACACCTGGATCAAGATTCTAAACAAAGGAAAAGTATGCTCAATCATTGCAAAATTATTTCAGATGGCAATATCAACCTATAATCGTACATAGCAACCTATTTCATATTTCTTTTTCTAATGTTTTTTTAGTTGTAGATGGACAACTAAAAACAATCTTTTTTATTTTTATTTATTTTTATGTGGTGCTCAGGACTGAACCCAGTGCCTCATGCATGCAAGTAAAAGCACTCTACCACTGATCTACAACCACAGCCCCCTACTGCATATTTCTTTAATAAAAGAAAACAATATGAACAGACTTGTCTGCAAGGAAAAATCGATCAATGCTTTGGAGAGACACCTGATATTAATTCTGTGTGGCAAAGTGGAGATGTATGGAAGGACCAAAAAGACCTTTTGCTTCATGTGCAAGGACAAGCTGAAAATAATTGTTTATACATAGAGTATGGGATCAATGAAAAAAATCACAATACCCATCACACCCATTTTCTTGCGTTTACTACAAAGTGGCAGGAGCATAGAAAAAGTATCTTTTTATCTAGAATTTTCCATTGGGGGCCCACTTGCTTATGACATTGAAATTGTTTAAGAGCCTGATCTTCCTCCAGGAAGGTGGTCTCAGTACCACTTAAATTGTTTTAGATCCTAGACCTATATTTTATATTGGCAAATTTATAGACATAGCCCCTGACTTTTCATACCCATACAAACAATATTTAATTTACTATGGTGATTCCTACAAAGATTATGGTGAAGAAGGAATGAGGGAGAGATGTGGAAAGCAGCAAATCCCTCCCTGGGTTTGGATAACATCATGAAGGACAAAATAATAAGGAGCTGTGAATGGAATTAAGAGAGACGGACTTAGAAAGTCAGCCATATGGAGCCCCACTGCTTCTTTCTTCTTCAAATGTGACTTTTTTTTCAGAATAAGAAAAATAAAATTGTTTTGGTTCCAAGACGTCACACTATCTGGGAAACGTTTCTCAAAAATACCTAAAACCTCTTAAGATGAGAAGCAACATTTATTCTGACCAAGTTAATCTTAAATGTATCTTAATCTTAAATGTGTTTGACATTTGGGGGTCTTCTGAGGAGAAGGGCCACCCAGATCTCTAAAGGTCACCCCCACAGAGGTCAGCAGATCTTACCAAGGTAGACTGGGGAATTAGCTACTGAGTTTATAAACCTCCCTCCAAACAGACACATGGAAAACTGCACCCAAACTCCAAAGGTTGTGAACAAGAAGAATTCTTGTGAGAAGATTAATGAGTCCCCCACCAGGGGATCACAGTGCACTGGCAACATTTACATATAACCCATGTGTTGAACAGATGTAACCAACGAGATGGAATCATGGATATCATCAATGGCTGCCAAAACCATTAAATGGAATACCGATTTTAAAGAAAAAACTTTGTAACCGATAAATCAGACTGTCCTAATCCTGTTTGATATGAACATCACACAGACAATCTGATGGGAGTTCTTTTGTTTCCTCTATCCTTTTGACTGTGCTTTTGAAAATTTGTTATAAAAGATTTGCAAAATGAAGCATCAAAGAATGCAATAGGTTTTTGTCTTCAGAATCTCAATTGAATTTTGTTTGGTTTTGTTTTAATTTAGTCATGCATTTATTCTAATTAGGTGTATATGACAACAGAATGCATTTTGATTCATTGTACACAATTGCAGCACAACTTTTCATTTCTCTGGTTGTACACGATGTAGTGTCTCACCAAATGTGCAGTCATGCATGTACCTAGGGTAATGATGTCCATCTCATTCCACCATCTTTCTTGCCCCCATGCTCACTCCCCTGCCCTCCATCTCTTTGCCCAATTACAGTTCATCCATTTTTCCCATGCCCACCGCCCCAATTCAGGATCAGCATCCACTTATCAGAGAGAACATTCGGCCTTTGATTTATTGGGATTGGCTTACTTCTCTTAGCATGATATTCTGCCAATGCCATGATTTTATTCTCTTTTGATGCTCAGTGATATTCCATTGTGTGTATACCACAGTTTCTTTATCCATTCACCTATTGAAGGGCATCTAGGTTGTTTCCACAATTTACCTATTGTGAATTGAGCTGCTATAAACATTGTTGTGGCTGCGTTACTATAGTATGCTGATTTTAAGTTCTTTGGGTATAGACCAAGGAGTGGGATAGCTGGTACAAATGATGGTTCCATTTCAAGTTTTCTAAGAAATCTCCAAACTGCTTTCCAGATTGGCTGCACCAATTTGCAGTCCCACCAGCAATGTATGAGTATGCCTTTTCCCCCACATCCTTGCCAACACTTATTGTTGTTTGTATTCTTGGTAACTACCATTCTGACTGGTGTGAGATGAAATCTTAGAGTACTTTTGATTTGCATTTTTCTAATTACTAGAGATGTTGAACAGTTTTCCCTATGTTTGTTGATTGATTGTATATCTTCTTCCAAGAAGTGTTGGTTCAGCTCCTTGGCCCATTTATTGATTGGGCTTTTTATTTGGTGGGTTTTTTTCGGGGGGTGTTAAATGTTTTGAGTTCTTTATATATTATTTATTTTTTCAAAGAACCAGCTTTATGTTTTGTCAATTTTTTGAAGTTTTTCTTTTGTTTCAATTTCATTGATTTCCACCTTGATTTTAATTATTTCCTGTCTTCTACTTTTGGTGTTGGTTTGTTCTTCTTTTTCTAGGGTTTTGAGTTGTGATGTCAGGTCATTTATATGTTGACTTTTTCTTGTTTTAATGAATGAGCTTAATGCAATGAAGTCTGTGGATGTCTTTGCCAATAAGATGACCAAGGCTTAGCATTTCCTCTTAGCACTGCCTTCATAGTGTCCCAGAGGTTTTAATAAGTTATATAGGAGTTCTCATTGACCTCTAGGAATTTTTTTATTTCCTCCCTCTCTTCTGTTATCCATCAGTCATTCAATAGCATATTATTTAGTCTCCAGGTGTTAGAGTAGCTTCTATTTTTTTATTTTATCACTAATTTTTAATTTCATTCCATTATGATCAGATAGAATGCAGGGTCGTATCTCTATTTTTTTTTTTTTTTTTGCTAAGATTTGCTTTGTGGCATTACATATGGTCTATATTGGAGAAGGATCATGTGCTGCTGAGAAGAAAGTGTATTCGCTCATTTATGGATGTAATATTCTATGTATGTCTGTTAAGGCTCAATTATTGATTGTTTTTTTTTTTTGAGTTTTATAATTTCTTTGTTTACTTTTTGTTTGGAAAATCTATCCAGTGGTGAAAGAGGTATATTAAAGTCACCCAGTATTCTTGTGTTGTGGTCTCTTTGATTCTTGTTGTTGAGAAGGGTTTGTTTGATATACATAGATGCCCCATTGTTTGGACCATAGATATTTATGATTATTGTGTCTTGTTGATGTATGAATCTTTAAGTAGTATGAAATGTCCTTCTTTATCACTAGCTTGGTTTAAAGTCCACTTTAACTGATATGAAGATGGAAACCCTTGCTTGGTTATGCAGTCCATGTGAGTGGTACATTTTTTCCCACCCTTTCACCTTCAGTCTGTGGATGTCTTTGCCTGTAAGACAACTGAGGCTTTTGCAGACAGCATATTGTTGGGTCTTATTTTTTAATACAATCTGCCTGCCTACCTATATCTTTTGATTAAAGAGTTTAGACCAATTATGTTCAATACTGTTATTGACAGATGACTTTTATTTTGTTATTTTGATTTATTTCTAATGTTTAAATCAGTCTTGATTCTGCTTTAATTGACTAATCCTCTGGTGTAATTCCTCTCTATGCTGATTTTTCATTTATAACTTTAATTTCTTCTTCATTAAATATTTTCTTGAGGGTATTTTATAGCACAGGCTTTCTGGTTACAAATTTTTTTAGCTTCTGTTATCATGAAGGTTTTTAATTCATCTTCAATTCTGCTGTTTAATTTTGCTGGGTATAGTATTTTTGGTTGACATTCATTTTCTTTCTGAGCTTGGTATATATTATTCCATGTGCTCCTGGCTTTCAGGGTCTAGTTGAGAAATCAGTTGAAATCTGGATTAATTTACCTCTAAATGTGACCAGCCATTTTCCTCCTGCAGTGTTTAAAATTCTAACCTTATTCTATATGTCAGGCATTTTCATTGTAATATATGATGGATTGGGTCTATTGTGATTTTGTATATTTGGAGTCCTGTATGTCTCTAGTATTGGAATTTACATTAATTCTTAAGGATTAGAAATTTCTCTGATATTATTTCATTGAAAATATTGTGCATCCACTTAGCTTATAGTTCAGAGCCTTCATCTATCCCAATGATTCTTATATTTGGCCTCTTAATATTATCCTAGAATTCTTTAATATTCTGTCCTTGGTCTCTTGACATCTTTTCTTTATGTCAACTTAATTTTTAAAATTTTGCACTTTTTATTTGAGGCCTGAAAAATCTAACAATCTAACCAATTGTTTTTAATATCTTTATTTTACTTTTATGTGGTGCTGAGGATCGATCCCAGGGCCTCACATATGCTAGGTGAACACTCTACTGCTGAGCCACAACCCCAGCCCCAATCCATTGAATTTTTAACTTGGTTCATTGAGTCTTTCATTTCTGGAATTTGTTTGATTCTTTTTCAAAATCTCTCTTTGTTGAAGTGATCTTCCACTTCCTATATTTTCTCTCTAATTGAACTCCTTACATGTTCGTCTAGCTCACAGAACATTTTAAGTATGAACTTTCTAAACTATTTCTCTGATAGTTCCTCCAGTGTGGTGGCCATGGGGTCAGTTGTTAAAGCATTACAGGCTGGCTGGGAAAGTTTGTTACCCTGATTTTTCATATTGTGTGTAGGCTGAAATCTATTGGGATAGTTGTCACTTATCTTTTCAAATGAGGTGCTACTTTTTGAGTCTTTCCCTTAAGAGTCTTGGGCTGGGAAAATAATCCAGATATTGATATTTTAAGTCTGTGTGACCTCTGCTAATCAATATCAACACCACTTTAAAGATATCACAAACACTATTTACTGTAATAATTTCAGAGCCAAGCATTGTACTGCTCAATCTTAAGAGAAATAAAATCTTGTTGCTATGATTCTCCACTGTTCCTAAAATCCAAGTCTAAATTAGTAATAGAGTTCTGGAATATGTCAAAAAATAGTTACTAAATTTAGTAAAATTACTATAACCTTAAGTGAGGGTTAAGAGATGTGAAGAACAAAGGTTGGGCAAAAAAGGAGAGGGAAAAATAGAGACAGAGATAAAGAGTGAAAGATATAAAAGGTAGAAAGTAGAAAAGGATGGTGAGTAGTTCAGGTAGTAGTAGATAATGCAAGAGCATGAATAAGGGATAAGAGGAGCAAGTATAAACTAGAGCTAAAAATATAAAGATAGAAAGACTGATTCTAATTAATTCCTGAAACTATTGGATGAAATACAATCAAATGGGTTGAAGGTACAACATTGGCTATGGCAGTAACAACTATCATTCAAGTTAAAGTTATATGATCAAAGTTGATATAGTGTTATTTATAGTAACCCATGTCGAGGCAAAGTAAATTTATTGTTGAACTTTGGTTTGGATTTCATTGACTGTGGATCTCCCCAAAGTTGCAGAGGTACAGAAGCCAATTACTTATTTGCTGAGGATCTCCCACCAGTGCTTTGGGTTTCTCAGTGTGGGGGCCTGAAGCTGACTGCTCAGTGGGTAAGTATTATGGCTTAGTTGTTTCTATTGTGTGCTGGAATTCAGAATACAGGCTCTGGTGTGTCCCTGTGATTGCTCTGGGTCACCATGTACCTGCTCCCTTCTACAGGATCCCTTTGGTTGGTGAAGATCCTGGTGGCTGTCTGTGAGCATAGGAACTCTGGTTGGGGATGGTTGTTCTGTGATGCAGAAGTATTCTGCTGGCGAACAGCACTCTCTGGGTTACTGTAGTGAAGGGACTCATGTGGTGCACCTGGGTTCTAGTTTGGAATGCTGAAGATTGTGAATGACACACATTGATTCCCTCTGTTGACTCTGTCTAATGCAGGGTCCCACCAGTATCCACACAATGCCCTTTCACTCACCAGTTGTGATCACAAGTCAGGCTGGGCACCAGTTAAAGTGGGGAGCAGGCAGTTGCTGTCGCCTTGGCTCTGATAATTTTCTGCCTTCACTAATCTCCCTCGGTCTATGTTTGTTGGTGCCTTCCACTTAAGTTTCCTGGGGTACTCAGGGAACTTATCCTAGCACCCCTCTGTCCATGGCTGCCACCATCTGGGAACCACATCTCTATGTCACTGGATATTCAGGCAGCTTCCCTATGTTATGCTCCAGAATCTGGGGGGCAGTCTCTACGCTTCCCACACTGATACCCCTGACCCCATTTCAGTAATTGGGACTGGAGAAAGCACTTTCCTTTGCTTGTGCCCAAAGCTGCCTTTTCATTCTCTCTCTTGAGTAGAGTGGGCTCAGTGCAGAGCTCTCTACCTTTGCCTGGCTCCCAAGGCTAAGCAGAGCACTGGGTTTGGCACATGTTCCAGCACAGATCCACAGTACTCCACCCCCATTCTTTGCAGGAGGGGGAGGGGTTCAGTGATTTTCAGCTGGTAGTGGTCCTTCTAGAACTTCTTTCTGACCAGCTTCTTAAAAAGTCCCACTACAGAAGATTCCCTCTGGTTTAAAGCTGCAAATTTAACCAGAGGGAATCTTCTGTAGTGGGACTTCTTAAGAATCTGGTCGGTAAACCCCAAGCTCAGCTTTCTTATCACGATTAGGTGTTAAGCTATTGGTTCTATTTTAAGGGCCCTGCTATTCTTGTCACACTGTAAATTTTGTCTTCCTTTCCAAATGTTTTTTTTTTTTAATACTTTTATTGATTGATTGATTGATTTTTTTTATTGGTTGTTCAAAACATTATAAAGCTCTTGACATATCATATTTCATACATTAGATTCAAGTTGGTTATGAACTCCCAATTTTACCCCAAATACAGATTGCAGAATCACATCGGTTACACATCCACATTTTTACATAATGCCCTATTAGTAACTGTTGTATTCTGCTACCTTTCCTATCCTCTACCATCCCCCCTCCCTCCCCTCCCATCTTCTCTCTCTACCCCATCCACTGTAATTCATATCTCTCCTTGTTTATTTTCCCATTCCCCTCACAACCTCTTATATGTAATTTTGTATAACAATGAGGGTCTCCCTCCATTACCATGCAATTTCCCTTTTCTCTCCCTTTCCATCCCACCTCATGTATCTGTTTAATATTAATCTTTTCTTCCTGCTCTTCCTCCCTGCTCTGTTCTTAGTTGCTCTCATTATATCAAAGAAGACATTTGGTATTTGTTTTTTAGGGATTGGCTATCTTCACTAAGCGTAATCTGCTCTAGTGCCATCCATTTCCCTGCAAATTCTATGATTTTGTAAAGTGGGTGAGCTTAAGAGACTTCCCCTACCCCCTTTTTTTCTCTGTTGCCCCTCTCCCCTTTCCTCAATCTGGTTTGGGTTAAGGATTAGGGAACTTTGTGCTTATTTTCTACTCTGATAACCTCTCTTTGAGTCTTTCCAGGTCTCAGACTTTGTAATATTGAGTCTTAGAGGGTTTTTTGGTTTTGTTTGTTTGTTATTTTGTCACCCACTTTCTCAATTCTGCTTTCCCTTCATTGCCTCCTTTCCATATTGGGAGGAGAGCAGGACTCACTGCCTTGCTCCCTTTTGCCCTTCCAGTCTTCTCAACTGCCAGTTTTGACAACACCCTGACCCATACTTCCTGTACCAAAGGTCAGAAGTCTCAAACCATCGCCCAGGAACAACAGACAGGCAGATCACTTCATGATGAAACTGCCAGCCCCCACCGGTTTCAGCTAGGCATGACCATCTCATGAGAACTGAGCCAACCCTCTCCAGGACCACACTTCTGATAGGTAAACATCCTGGCCTGGGAAGCAGAGATCAACAGCAGCAATTTCCTTGGAACCAGTAAGACTCTGCCACCAGGACTGAGATAATGATCAACCAGACAGGTTTGATCAACACTGCTCACCTCTCACTCCTGCCCCAACTTACTCTCTATTTAAACCTAAAGTTCTTGTCAGTCCCCCTGAGGATAGGGCTGAGATGCTTAATCTCACTGTCTTCCCAATATGGCTATATTGATTAAAGTTCCTTTTGTGTTTTCACCAGTGCATTTTCCTTTTGTTTGCGGGTAGGGGAGGTGAGTGGCCAGGCCTGATATTTTTGATCCCCCATGCTAATGACTAAAATCAGGGAGATAAGGATCAGTTAAAATAACAAAAATGAACCATTCACAGATAAGAGCTATTTACAACAATCTTATATTTAGCTTCATACAGAAGTATACCCTGCTATCTGAGGCAGGGATTTGTAATTTCAACAGTTTGTGAAAACTGAAAAAGTCCAGAAAAAATAATGGCTAAAAACACCCCAAATTTAGAAAGGGGCATAAAGGTTTAGATTCAAAAACGAAGAGCAGAAAATTTCAAAGAGAACCATACTGAGACATACTACATTCAATGATTAGAGCACAAATCATTAAAATTGAATTCAGAAAAACAACAGAGAAATTGAATTTTTAAAAAAAATTGTGTTGAAAAGATTAATAAAATTGATCAACATCTAGAGAGAATGACAAAAAAAGGAGAGAACATAAACCTATTACAATTATCAAGAATGAAAGGGGGATGTCACTGGAGACTCAGAAGATATCAAAAAGGTAATAAAGAATATTTTAACCACTCTACACACATAAATTCAACAACAAAGGTGAAGGTGATCAATTCTAAGAAAAACACAAGCTACTATGTCTTGCCCAATGTGAAATAGGTCATTTCAATAGCTTTTCAACTCCTAAGATGTCTCCAGGCAAAGTGGTTTCACTGGAGAATTCTACCAGAACAAACAAGGAAAAATTAACACCAATTCTATGTAATCTCTTCCAGAAAACAGAAGAGGAGGAAACACTTCCCATTAATTTCATAAACCTAGATTTACCCTGATGCCAAAAACATGAGCAGTTGCTCGCAAAGTAGAGATCAGTATACCTCATGAATATAACCACAAGCTTCTTTAACAAAAAAACAAAACAGCATTTAGTTTAGAAATCTATAAAAGAATAATATACCACAACAACTGAGGTCTATACCCTGGTTGTAAGGCTGGCTCAATACCCATTCAATACTGGTCTGGCATATAGTCAAAAAATATGATATGAAGAAAATAGCAGTGTGACCCATAACCAAGATAAACAACTATAAATAGAGTCAAATTCAAATATGACCCACATATTGGCATAAAGAAAGACTATAAGATAATAATTATAAATACTTTTTTAAATTTAGGAAGGGGGACTGGAATAGTAGTAAAGCACTTGCCTATTATATATGAGGCCCTGGATTCAATTCTCAGCACTAAATATTAATAATAAAAAATTAGTAAAATAGTATCATCATGGATAGATAATCTTGTGGGGTTAAACAAAACTCTAAACAGTACTGAAAGATAATTTCTAAAAAGTTGAGGAATAAGAGAAGTTCTTCCTTACAGTAGAAGTAATAGGTAATTTTAAAGATAAACAATAATTTAAAAAAAACTATCCAACTAAAGTACACAGAGTATATTTGAAAGCTGACCAGACCAAAAGTCAGACATGGTGGGAGGCACTAAGTAATCCCCCTACTTGGGAGGCTGAGGCAAGTTCAAGGCCAGGCTAACCAACATAGTAAGATCCCATCTTTAAAAAAAAATTCTGAGCAGAGCAGCCAGTAATTTGAGACAACATCAAATAATCTAACTTTTGTGTAGAGTTCCAGAAGGAAAGGAGACATAGGAAACAGAAAAAATACAGTCAAAAATTCCAAAATTTTATCAAAACCATAAATTCACAGAACCAGAAAGCCAATAGACATCAATCCAGATAAAACACATCATAGTAAAAATTTTGAAAATGAAAGGTAAATCAAAATTTTTGAATACCATCAGAGGAAGAAAGATACTTTACATTCAGGGGAAATACAAGAATTACAGAAGATTTCTCATCAGAAACAACAGAAGCCAGAAAATGATGAAACAATATTTACAATGATGAAAAAGATCTTGAATTCTATATCCAGTAAAATACATATAATATTCCTCAAAAAAATTAAAAGATGACTTTACAACTAACAAATGCTAAAATAACCATAGCCTTTAGATCCAAGAGTACAACAAGCACTAAGTGAGTTTTACAGGTTAAAGAGAATGAATATTTCACTGTGTGTTATGTACCACATTTTCTTTATCTATTCATCTGTTGAAGGGCACCAAGGTTGGTTCCATAGCTTAGCTATTGTAAAATGATCTGCTATAAAGATTGATGTGGCTGCATCTCTATAATATGCTGATTTTAAGTCCTTTGGATATAAATCAAAGAGTGGTATAATTATGTCAAATGCTGGACCCTTTTCAAGTGTTCTAAGGAATCTCCCTACAGCTTTCCAGAGTGGTTGCACCAATTTGTAGCATAACAAAAAATGCTCCCCTCTTATCTCTTCCTGGTCCCTTTCCTTTACTGGTCTCCCTTGGATTTTCATGAGATCCTTCCCTCACTACCTTTCTTTCCCTTTGTGCTCTTTACCTGCCCCAGATGAGAGAAAACATACACCACTTAACTTTCTGAGTTTGTCTTATTTCACTTAACCTAATGTTCTCAAGTTTCATACATTGTCCTGAAAATATCATCATTTAATTCCTTATAGATGAATCAAACATTGTTGTGAATATATACCATGTTAGCTTTGGGGGGGGACGAGGGATACCAGGCATTAAACTCAGGGGCACCCGACCACTGACGACATCTTCACATCTTTTTTTAATTATTATTATTTAATTTAGAAAAAGGGTCTCACTGAGTTGCTTAGCACCTCTCTTTTGCTGAGGCTGGCTTCAAACTCAAGATCCTCCTGCCTCAGCCTCCCATGCCTTTGGGATTACAGGAGTGCACCACCATGCCCAGCATACCATGTTAACTTTGTTCAATCATCCACTGATAGACACCTAGCCTGGTTCCATTGTTCAGCTATTGTGAATTGTGCTGCTATAAACACAAGTATGCATGTATTGCTATTGTGTGATATAATCATGCACCCAAATGAATCACATACAAAGCATATTCCTCTCTGCTATTATGTGTAACATCAGCTTCACTTGACCTTTATGATAAATATCAAGATGTGGTATAGATGGGTCATATGGGGGCTTCATTCCTAGTCTTTGAGGAAATCTCTGATATCCATAGTGGTTGTACAATTTACATTCCCACCAACAGTGTAAAAGTGTTCCTCTATAAGACCTCTTTAAGAAACTGATGAGAAAGGTAAGTAGTATAAGCTACCACCCTTGAAATGTAGACCTTCTAAGGACCTGAGTATGTTTTCTGTTGCTGTAACAGAATACCAGAGACTGTAATTTACAAAGAATAGAGGTTAATTTTGGCTCATAGTTCTGAAGATTGGGAAGTCCAAGAGCAAGGCACTAGCATCTGCTTGGGTTCTGGTAATGGCCCTGTGCTGTGTTCTAAGATGGTGAAAGGATTGAAAGGACAGTGATAATTCCCTGGATTATGGAGTGAGATGAAATCTCAGGGTAGTTTTAATTTGCATTTCTTTAATTGCTAGAGATGTTGAACATTTTCTTCATACACTATTGGCCATTCATATTTCTTCTGTTAAGTGTCTGTTCAGTTCCTTTACCCACTTATTAATTGGGTTATTTGTTTATTTGGTGTTAAGTTTGTTGAGTTCTTTGTATATCTTGGAGTTATTGCTCTAACTGAGGTGTAGGTGGCAAAGATTCTCTCCATTCTGTAGGCTATCTCTTCATATTCTTGATGGTTTCCTTTGCTGTGAAAAAGATGTTTAGTTTGACTCCATCCCACTTATTGATTCTTGATTTTACTTCTTGTGCTTTAGGAATCCTGTTGAGCAAGTTGGTTCCTTAGCTGACATGATGGATAGTTGGGCTACTTTTTTCTTCTGTTAGGCAGAGGGTGTCTGGTCTAAGGCCTAGGTTCTTGATCTACATTGAGTTGAATGTTGTGCAGGCAGAGAGACAGGAGTTAAATTTCATTCCACTACATATGGATTTCCAGGTTCCGCATCACCATTTGCTGAAGAGGCTATCTTTTCTCCAATAGTCTAGTATGAGATAACTGTATTTATAGGGGTATGTCTCTGTGTTTTCCATTCTGTTCCATTGGTTTTCCTGTCTGTTTTCTTGTTGTTGTTGTTGTTTTGTTTTTGTTTTGCGTTTTGCCAATATCATGCCATTTTTGTTACTATAGCTCTATAATTCAATGTCATGTCTGGTGTTGTGATACTTCCTGCATCACTTTTCTCACTAAGGACTGCTTTGGCTATTCTGGGTCTTATTTTTCCAAATGAATTTCATGAGGACTATGAAAACAATGAAATTTTCATATAATTGCATTAAATCTGTATAGTGCTTTGGTAATATGGCCATTTTGACATTAATTCTATCTATCCAAGAACATGGAAGATCTTTCCATCTTCCAAGATCTTCTTCAATTTTTTTCTTTAGGGTTCTGTATTATTCACTCTAGAGGTCTTTCACCTCTTTTGTTAGATTGTTTCCCAAGTTTTCATTTCTTTGTGAGGCTATTGTAAACAAAATAGTTTTCCCAATTTCTCTTTCAGCTGATTCATCATTGGTATATAGGAATGCAACTGATTCATGGGTGTTAATTTTATATTCTGCTACTTTGCTGAAATTTTTAATGAGTTCTAGAAGCCTTTTGGGGGGGATCATCTAAACATAGAATCATGTCATCAGCAAATAGACATAGTTTGAGCTCTTCTTTTCCTATTCATATCCCTTTAATTTCTTTCTTTTGTCTGTCCACTTGCTCTGGATAGGGTTTCGGGGACTATGTTGAACAGCAGTGGTAAAAGAGGGCATCCCTGTATTATTCCAGTTTTTACAGGGAATGCTTTCAAATTTTCTCATTTAGAATAATGTTGGCCTTGGGTTTAGCTTATACCTTTTACAATGTTGAGGTGTGTTCCTACTATCTCTAGTTTTTCTAGTGTTTTAAGCATGAATCAATGCTGAATATTGTCAAATGATTTTTCTGCATCTATTGAGATAATCATGTGATTTTTTTCCT